TGTGCATTTTTATCACTACTGGTCGATGAGATATCCACTGCTTTCTTCGATATCATTGTTCTATCGAGAAATATTCAATTTTGAAAATTCTCTATTTCCTCACAATCTTTCACAGCGAATATCTCGCGAACTAGTGGTGATAAAAATACACGGTTAACTGCTCCGGAAAGCCCCTTTAATTATGCAAATGCAGAATTTTTCTTTTTTTCGATATCATTCTTTGATCATGAGATATTCAATTTTGAAACTCGTTGTCAATTTCCATAAAAATTGGCAATGTTTGGCAGCGGATATTTTCCGAATCAGCAGTGATTCAATTTTTCAACAGCAAAAGTTGGGCATCAACTCATAAAATTCATATTGATCGCAAAATTTCTCCAATCTCACTTCGACTGCCGTAAAAATGGTGACTCGAAATCACGGCGCCAAAAATGAGCAAAACCGAACGAATTAGCAAAGTATGTATTCCGCCCAAACACCTCATACCGAGAGTTGAGTAATACCTTTTGTACGCGTATGCACGTCCCCCTCATTACGCAAATAATTTCCAACTTATAAATAGGACCCGCTATTTGGCAACCACTGTTGTTTACCAAGTCCATCCATATATGGAGGATGAAAACGCGTGTGTGTTTTCAAACGTTGATTTTTTATTCTCATGTGTTGGTTACGACTGGCTGTGTGCCTCTCCTCTCTATTTTACCCACTACATTTAAAATTTAAACGAAGAAAATTGAATGAAAATGAAATACAATTAATTGAATCCATTAAAGGCCCCAAAAGTCTTTAATGAAATTTCATTTGATTTTATTTCACTTTAAAGAAAAAATAGATAAGTTCAAGATATGTATTATATATGTATTAAAATATTTTTTCCATTAATTTTTCAGAATTTATGGGGCAATGATTATTGAATGAATATTTTTTGTCGATTAAAGGGGCAAACAGAGATTTTAAATTTTCATTGTTGCTTGACTTTAATTATTTTTTAATGAAGCTCTGTTATAAATCAAATGTGTAAATAGGGAGGATCTCTAAATCATATTATGCATCTCTGTTTGTCCTTCGGGAATTATCAATACCTGTACCGAGTGGAAAAAACACTTTTTTACATCTCCCTATGTGAATGCACATCTGTTTGCGCTATGAAAAATCGTTGCGCATACGAATTTGCACATAATGTGTACGATCCGAGCCCCGTGAGAATTTAAAGTGAACCTGAGATTGTGTTCACGTGTTGAACGGTATTGTCTGAGAATGTGGTGATATTTATTTGATTATTTTTCTACTATTCTTTTGTAATGGGAGGAGTTGAGGTTTAACGTAGAAAGTATTGACAGTGGGTTCTCAACCTCTCGTTGATCTTCTCGATATTGATTATACCGGATATATTATTATATGAATTATTATATTTTTTGTACGAATGTATTTTTTGCGTACGCCCACACCATGATTTTTTAAAAAAACATCAATTAAAATGGAATCAATTTAAAAAATGCTTGTGGTAATGAAGATCATTCTTGAAAATTGATAGCATCGTAATCGAAATGATAATTGCAATTCCAAATGATCAGATCATAACTCATTTGTGGTTGAACTATAAACCATCTGACTTATTGAAATTGGTGGGGAGTTGATGGGTTTTTTTTTTCCTCCCGCGTATTCCAATGCCTAATGCATAAGTAATTTGCTGCACCGAGTGAACTTGTTTATCGCCTGATTGGAGAAAAGGGATAAAATTCCCATTTCTGATTGACAACGCGAGTAAAATGATGATGGAATTGCACTGCCAGGGGAAAACTGTGCCCCATGGTGCCAAAAGACATTAACCCAAATCGTGAAGCTGCAGAACTTCAGATTACGAATGCATTTACAAAGACATGGGGCCTGGCATTAACTGCACATGTATACCGATGCAAAGTGGACAGTGAACGATCGCCACGACCCCGATGTCACTTGATTAAATCACCGTGATTCAGGTATTTCCTGATCTTAGATCATGAATGTTTATCCAAGATCGTAAATCATTGAGAAATTTTTTTTTTTACGGAGAGATGAAATTATTTCCTCTTTTTTTATCGTTAATCGAAAATCGATCCCGAAATATTTTAAACATTTCGAATGAATGCGCGAGTGATGCACTTGAAACTTCATAATTATCCACCGAATAAAAATATTCAGTTGCTGCAAAGTTCCACTGTCTATTATTTATAATAATAAACTATTAGGAATCCACGCGGACTCAGCAACAATATAAATATATTGCATACTGAAAACTAACTACAAATATTATTATATGCAGGACTCACCCTCGTGTCGAGATTGCTCAGGTCTGGAAGCTGAAAAAATAAGAGGAATTTAATAATTTTTCATTATCAATCATACTTAATTATTTATATTAATAACGTCGTAATTTTTTCGTTTGATTATTTGATTCTGATTGGTTTTATAAAATTAAATAGTATTTATAGGATTTTATAGATTTTAATTTTGAAGTATCTCCACGGAGAGCACGCAAACTAAAAAATGGAATTTCTTCCAGCAGTTGGTAGATCATATTTATCCAGAAATTTTTACCGACGCGGGATAATGCAGATCCCACAATTTATTGAGACATGTTGGATCTGTACCGGTCAGATGCCATTATCCGTCAACCTTGATTCCCCCAAATTGCCGTAAATTGACGATAATTGGTAGCGATATTTCTCAGACCCACTTTCATCGCACATCGCGTGCGGAAATTAATTTCAACCGCAGATAGAATGCCGTCATTCAGAGACCCTTGTTACCTCTTCAACAATTGTTCGTGTGGGTGTGGTAATAATAGACGGATAAAAGAATCAATTGTACGAAGGTTCTTAAATGAATTACGAATGAATATCCCACGGTGAGAACTTTATGAAATTAAATTGAATTAACTGAATCCATTTCGCGTTATTGGGATCAGTCAGAAAATTTATGAAGAAAACTTTCTTCTCATCTTTTAAACATTTTCATTAATTTCGGAAAATCAAAAGAATATTTAATTCATTATAGAATGTATAATTAACGTACAATCGACGTTGCACGGGATTTTCATCGATAATTACTTTACGTAATATTATTTAAATATTATTAGCGGTATTTTCGCTTCTGGTTGGTGGGGTAATAATCAACACCGGAAAATTGAAATTCAATGAAAATTTTACAATTAATGGTTATTGATTATTTCTGTATTCGCAAAAATAATTCGGCCAATCATAATTT